TAAATATATATATATATATATATATATATATATATATATATATATACGCTAGTCAAAACAATCTATTATACGCTACTTACAAGCACAAGTAACTCAAGTCGAAAAGAATAAAGTTTTCTACATGGAGGAACAAAAAGGATACCTAACCTGCAATTTAAATTTTGAACTTGCTGCTATGAAGGAGAATGGAGTTCTCTTTGTATTTGTAAAAATAAAAATTGAATATTCGTTGCTTTTGGGAGATATTAGCAGACTAGCGGATAAGATAACGAATTGGGAAAGACCATAAATTAGGGCTTCAATCAATAAAAAAGGTCATGGCTTTTAAATTTAATACATTTCAGTTCCTTTTTAAAACTTGAGTAATTACAAGCTAACTTTTGAGAATTTGGGTATTATATGAAGGAATTATTCAACAAATTTTGTTTTAGTTTGATAAAGTCTCTGGGGCTTACGCCTCACTAGAAAAACGCGCCTCAAACGCCCGGGTGTACGACCCGAATTGCTGGGCGTACGCCTCTTGAGACTTTCGCATCACACTATCGCCTCGGGGCATTTTTGGTGCGCCTCACCCCGAAAACGCCTTTTAAAACACTGCACATGATAAAGAGTAATGGATTTATGTGATGCTCACTAACTGACCACGCAAACTTCCTGTCTATTGCAATTGAACACAAATTAAGACCACAGACTGTAAACTAGGAAAAAGCAAGCTAATTCATAAGCCCCATCATTACATATGAGGCTACATTTCTGTTGTATGACCGAGGGCCGGAGGACAAACCAAATTCCAGCTGCCTCCCCTCAAAATGAGTGTCAACAACATTTAATCATAGAAAAAAGGCCTGAGAAGAATTATATGCATGTCATTTCGCAAATAAAAAAATTTCAAAAATGGAAACCACACGTCTGCTTTGGATAACTCTCAAGTCCAACCAAGAGGTTTGGAGTTCAAAGGAGTAACGTGGGAAAGAGAAACTGTCGACTCCTACGCAAGAGCGCATTGGAGTTGACGATAACAAGAAAAAAAAATTGCAAGCTAAAATGGAAAATAAAAATATTCAACACCATTTCTTCCTAAAAGCTGCAGAGCATGGTCAAACAAGAGCAGAAAAAATGTATATCCAAACACAGAACCATTTAGTGGATAATCTTGCTTTTGAGATAAAAGAGGTGGGAAGAAGAGAAAAAGTACTCATCACAT